ATCCAGGGGACTGGGAGGTGGGACGCTCAGGGGGCGGCGGTGAAGGGGCTCGTGAGGGCTGGAGGATCAGGGGGCGGAGAGGATCTGGGGGGCAGGCGGCTCAAAGCGGGGCTCAGGGGGTGGGGGTAGCTGGGTGTGCGGGAGGCTCAGGGGGTGGGGGTAGCTGGGTGTGCGGGAGGCTCAGGGCGTGGGGGGGATTCAGGGGGTGGGGGATTCTGGGGGGAGGGAAGCTCCGGGGGGCTCAGGGTGCGGGGCAGATCAGGGGGACAGGCGGCTCGAGGGGGGGCTCAGGGGACGGGGGGCGGGGGGGGCTGTGGCCCAGCTCACCCTGCCGCTCCCACAGGATCACGTCCATCGACATCAAGTATCAGCTCTGGAAGTTCGGCGTCATCTTCACCAACAACGTGAGTGCAGGGCCCGGGGTGGGGGGCCGTGGAACCTGGGGGGAGGGGTCATGGGGCCCAGGAGGGGAGTCATGGGGCCCAGTGAGGGGGCTTCATGGGCCCCGGGGAGGAAGAGGGGGTGGGAGCTGGGGGGCAGAGTGTGCCTGTCCTGCGCTCGGCTGCAGCGGGGGTGGAGAAGGCCGGGACCAGATGCCCGGGTGAGGGGCACAGCGGTGCCGGGGGAAGGGCTGGCCCGTCCCTGCCCTGAGCTGGGGGGAGACCCGGTCTGTCATTCCCCCCTCCCACCCCCCATGTGGAGGTGCCCCAGTCCCAGCCCCTGTCCCCCTCCCCCACAGTCCTTCCTCTACCTGGTCTGGTACATGGTCATGTCCCTGCTCGGCCACTACAACAACTTCTTCTTCGCCGCCCACCTGCTGGACATCGCCATGGGCGTCAAGACGCTGCGCACCATCCTCTCCTCCGTCACCCACAACGGCAAGCAGGTGGGGCCCGGACGGGCCGGGGGGGGTCACGCTGGAGGAGTGGGGGAACCTTGGTGCCCGCCCCCAGCTGGCGATGAGGGTGGGGGAGGCAGGGGCCCGGCTGGGTGTTCTCTGGCGGTGGTACCAGCCCTCAATGCCCCCCATCTGGCGATGACCGTGGGGGGCTGCGCTGGGGGGCAGGACAGGGCCTGCGTTGGAGGGGTGGGGGGACCCTGGGTGCCCATCCCCAGCTGGTGATGAGCGTGGGGGGCCATGCTGGCCGGCAGGGGCCCAGTTGGATGCTCTCTGGCGGTGGTACCACTGTCCGTGCCCCCCCAGCTGGCAATGGTGGGGGGGCAGCCAGGGGGGCAGACCAGGCTCTCTCCAGCAGCAATACCAGCCCCCCGTGCCCCCCCCAGCTGGCGATGACGGTGGGGGTGGGGTGGGGGGGCAGGCCGGCTCTCTCCAGTGGCAATACCAGCCCCCCGTGCCCCCCCAGCTGGCGATGATGGTGGGGGTGGGGTGGGGGGGCAGGCCGGGCTCTCTCCGGTGGCAGGGCGCACCCCCCTGGGCCCCCCAC